ACTCAACCATAAAGCCATTCAGTAAACTTTCCCCCACAGCCTTCTCAAGCATCCTACTGAAAGCCTCCATTACAATGACAAATAGCAATGAGGATAAAGGATCCCCTTGCTTCAATCCTCTGCTGCTACGAAAATAACCCTCCAGAATGCCGTTCACCACTCCACCGACACCACTTATCCCCGAAGCCACATCGCCTGAGCATATACAAGAGAAATCCCCAATTGACGTGATCATAAGCCTTCTGAATGTGAAGCTTGCATAGCATTCCAGGAACACCTAGGCGCAGTCGTGAGTCAATGCAATCATTTGCTATAAGTACTGAATCCAAAATTTGGCGCCCTTTAACAAAAGCATTTTGAAACTTAGACACCACTTTTCCCAGCACCTCCTTTAATCTATTTGCCAAAATCTTCACAATAATCTTGTATACTCCGCTCACGAGGCTAATGGGACGAAAGTCTTTAATATCTATCGCTCCTGGTTTCTTTGGAATCAGCACAATAAATGTAGCATTGCCAATTCTCAAGAATCTTCCACACTGAAAGAAATAAGTAAGGACATCAACAATGCCCAATCGCACCACTTCCCAATGAGAACGAAAATCCGTCCGGTCCTGGTGCCTTATCATCATTCAAGCTAAACACCACTTCCCTAATCTCATCCTCCCCAAATGGGCTCTCTAACCAACTGGCATCATCCTCAGTAATAGAAGATAACTCTAGCCCTTCCAACTCTGGCCTCCAGTCAAACTGCTCATGATAAAGATTATGATAGAAGCTTACCATCTGCGTCCTGATATCCTGTGGATCCTCGTAAGCAACGCCATCTACCTTCAACATATTGATAGAATTGTTGCACCTATTGGAATTCGCGAACCTATGGAAAAATCGGGTGCATTTGTCCCCTTCTTTCAACCACGTAATCCTAGATTTCTCACGCCAAGCAGTCTCCTCCATCTCCACTAGCCTCTCCAATTCTCCCCGTCTCGCCCTCTCATCCCCTTCTAGTCCTCGACTTTCTTCCCTCTTGTCCACTTCTTCAATGTCTGATAAGCATTGATTTTTGCGATGGTTAACATTCCCCACCACCTCTTCATTCCAACTCTTTAGATCCCTTTTTAACGCCTTCAATTTGCAATCCAATACATAATTGGGAGATCCCCTGAAGTCATAGGATGCCCACCAAGTCCGTACTCGTTCCCCAAAACCTTCTACTTTAAGCCACATCTTCTCAAACCTGAAAGGTCTTCTACCACCGCGCCTCACATTCCCAAACGAGATAGGGAAATGATCAGAATACACTCTCTCCATTCTCCTCTGAATAACCTCTGGATACTTAGCCTCCAATGCCCCACATACCAAGAATCGATCTATTCGGGATAGGATAGGTTGATCCCGACTAGATGACCTAGTAAAATCTCCCCCAATCATAGGCAGGTCCACCAACATGTTCTCCCTGATAAAGTCTGAAAAGTCCTCCATAGTCCTTGTTAATCCCCCCACTAGACCTCTCAGTAGGAAAGCGGATCACATTAAAATCTCCCCCAATACACGTTGGAAGGTTCCACCAAGCCATAATTCCAGCCAATTCAACCCACAATCCACTTTTTTGCACATCTCCATTAGGCCCATAGACTCCTATAAACATCCACCGAAAACTATCCTCGATATTTCTAAACGAAATCGATAGAGAAAATGAATCTTCGCTAACCTCCTCCATATCAAAGACACTAGTGTCCCACATTATCAGTATACCTCCTGAGGCCCCCGATGACCCTACAGACTGAAACCCCACATGTTGTCCCCCCCATAGGCTGCTCACAACATCCCTCAACACAACCTCCAACTTTGTTTCTTGTAAGCATACAAGGTCAGCCCTCCATCCCCTTAACAGATTTCCAACTCCCACCTTTTCCCAGCTTCATTAAACCCCCGTATGTTCCAACTAATTATTTTCGGAGTCATATTAACACTTCATCATCCCTCCCCGTCAGGCTTCTCCTCGACTCGCCACCCTTAACATCATAGTTAATGGAACATTCAAGTCGTTTAAACTCACGATGGCTCTTTCTTCTTGCCTTACCTCCTAGAGTGCCCATCCCTTGTCCCCTGCTAGCCTCTAATTCCTCATATAATTACAAGAGCTTATCCTCATACCCATCTTGCTAAAATCCATAATACTTTGAAGTACCCAATTGGAAGGCGGGGGTCTGACGTCAAGTGCACTAATTTTCGCTATCTGCTCGGCATAAATAGGATCGTGGTAGTGTCCCTCTTTTTCCTCCACCTGTTCAACAGCATTGTCTCCCTTCTCATCGCCGCCCACCCACACCACAAACGCATTATCATTCCGTAGACCCCGTTTCGTTGGAGACTTAGAGCATCTCCTGGTGTAGGTGTTCACTACCTTAGTAGCCGAGTTTGTCATCCCATGCTATTCCTCAATTGCCGACCCTTAGTTATCAACCAATTCAAGTCCAATCTCTTGCACATCACCTGACAATGATCCCTTTACAAGTGGAATCGTGTCTAATGATCCCACGGTCGTAGAACAAATAACTCTGTTCGCTTCCAACACCTCCAAGTCAATATTCCTAATGCCCTACTCTCCTACTTCCATCCGATGTTCCACCCCTCGATATGCCTCTATCATTGATTCAATTCCACCCCTTTTCGTTCCCTCCACCTCATCTCGCTCTTCATCTCCAGAAGAAATGTCCACTTCAGACCCTGTCTGGGACTCGCCACAAGGCTTATCCAACACTTGTTTATCTTTAGTTAAAACACCTATCGGCGCTGGCTCCTCAACATTCAAATTAGCTTACTCATCCAATCTTATCCCACACTCATTGCAATAACTTAACCTAGACCCAACTACAGACCCATTTTCCACAACCTTGATCAATCCATCCAATTCTCCTTTCAACGCCTATATCTTCGCTATTAATTCTGCATGATGATCATTACTCTCATTCCCTGCCATTTCCTTATGCAACATTGCCCGTTGATCAGCACTTTGCGAAGCCCGCGCATTTGCCGTGACTTCGGCACAAGTCATCCATCTTCGGCTTCTTTCTTCGTTTGTTTGACGCATCGCCTTATCCCTGGCCACAAAGGAATCAATGAACATGCATGAAACCGATTCTCATCCCTCTCCATTTGCACCTTCCGGCACCATTACAACCCCCTTTCGCCGCCTCTCCCCATACTGTGCTACCATGAGAAACCCGCCACGACTGTTTGCACAACGTTGCGCCAAGAAAGCTCGAGATGATTCATTAAACTTGGCAACGAATTCCTCCATCTTATTAGTCCTCGTCAACTTTTCCACCATATTAACCATCCACAAGGCACCAAATCGGTCCATACAGATAGAACCCGATATCTTCGAAGCCCATTCTGAAAGCTTAACAACACTGGAGGCGTTAATAGACACTACGAACTCCTTCACCTCAACATGAAACCGGGAATTAAATAGTATAGGCTCCACCGGGTAGGGTTGTTTCCCATGACTCTGTACTAATGGGGTGGATGATGATGAAATCAACGGTCGGATCAGCTTCGTAGCAATGAAAGGAGTCTGGAGTGGGGTTTCGTCGGCCGCGCGTGGGGCCCACGCGGCACCGAAAAGGCAGGTGGCTCACGCACCCCGTCGACCAGAGTCGAAACGGCCTGCAAAGGCGACCGGTCAAGCGCGTGAGGCATAGATCTGGTCAAAATCGAGCTGGAGATAACAGATCCAACCGTCACATGCGTGGGTTGGTGGCTGCTATTTTGTGGCGTGAGGCCTGTGGGGATGGGTCGTCTGTTTAGGGTCTGGTGACCGACGCCGGAGAGGCAACACCGGTGTGGTTAGGCGGTGGGAGGGTTGGTTTGGATATGACGGGAGGCATTCTCTCTATTAGGTTAACGGGATGCGGTAGTTACTCCTAACAGCGTTCACCTTCACTATCAAGTAAAACAGCGTTCACCTTCACTATCAAGTGAAAATGTTTTCAACACAGTCTCGGATTACAAAGAATACTTTTACACCCAGGAAAGTGAAGAAAAAGATCATAACATGAAAACAAAGTGCAGCAGAGAAAACGCAGTTAATCCAAAAACTCAATGAACAAAATACTTCTTTAAAGTGATCAAAGCATGCGGTAAGATATCTAAATCAGCCACCACTCAAGAAAATGTCTAACAGACACTGAGATAAACATATTATCTGTAACAATATGATGAACTATTCAAGTTCTTACACCATGTTAAATACTTTCGCATCACCAGAACTTTAGGCATTGAAATTTAAGCATCAAATTCTTATAGATGACAATCTTTAATTTATGCCTGATTAAGAATTTCCCAGGTCAATGATATTTTTATCTTTCAAAAATTGCCAAGCATGGGCCTGATGGATGTCTTTGCAATTGCTTGAAGCTCACGAGAATATCCAAACAACAGACATGAGCCTTTCAAAGCCTAATTTCATAATATTGAGCTCCTAAAATGTTTGAAGCTCCTTATACTCCCTTTTACTAGTCTTCTAGGATGGATTCATAAAGGGGTAATCTCATGATTTTTTTCTGTAGGTAGCATTATTGTGGACAGTCTAAACTTCAATCCTTATTTCTTCCGAGAAGCCCAAAACTTAGACACGTTAAGCATTTGAAACAACACCCCACCCAGCTTAAGCCTTAAATGATAGTCCACCACAATCATTATAAATGACAGCCCTATGTTTCACAATCATGACATACTTGCCATACTTTTACTATACCATGATTATGGAGCAAGAACAATGCTTATGTTAAAAGGAATAAAAAGGGTGAATGATATACAAAATTTCCACAGAGAACAACTATCGTGTTCTTTTCACATGTTCCATCACAGCCTTCTCTAGTAACAAGAACCTGGCCTTCAACAACATTATACTGAACCTCCATCAAATATAGTAATAGGAATGGTTAATGACAATATAAACCAACAATTGTGCTTCTATACATGATAAAACAATTTTATTTCCTGGAGGGCAGTAGCGAGATAAGAAAGATGGAAAGCATGTAACTCGCATATTTATACTTACCCAAGACTGACAATCCAACAGAGAGATCCTTCAAAGAATGTGAATGCGACTCTCCAACATGTATGTGACCATGAGCATTCTCATAATGGTGATCATGTGAATGGGAGTGCTCACCACCTCAGGAATAAAATAGAAACAATAAGAAGTATGAAAGCAAAGTACAATGAAGGTAATCATATTTTACAAAATCAAGTAGCTTCTTCAGATCGGGAAATCAAGCTGGAAGCAGAGACCAGAAAGGAAAAGAAAATGATATCTTCTCGCCGAGGCACAAATTTATTAACTTAACAGTTTCACCAGCTGATGCCCCATCATGCTATATAAAAAAACATATGACCAATCTGTGTTAATATCTGAATTCAATTGGTAACCAGGGTCTACATATGAAACACACACTTGTAAACCTACAGAAAAAATATGTATTTATCCATGACTATTAACAACCGAGATCAAAGACTCATACTAACTTTTCCAAAAGGAAACATTCTACTTGTGGTCAATGATTAATATAATCTGCGACAACTTTTTATCAAGTTGATCAGAATTAAAATATTGTGAAGTCTTGTGATACTACGTATTCACAAGAGAATGTAAAGAAGAAGCAATCAAAAGCATGAGCTTCTTAGAGTAAAAATTATCTTGTTTCCTTTCACATAATTTTCATATCTCATGTAATAACTGTTGCTCAAAAACAAGTGATGGTCTGTAAACATATTCAAATCAAAATTATCAAAGTTGGTGCAGTATCCATTCCCCCTGCATCTCTACTTCACACCACCAAAGAAAAGAAAGAAATATAAATATTACATAATATTTAATGGGCATTTTATATTTTGCCATGGGAACAGAACATTTCTGGGTATATACAATCAACAAAATATTCAGTACTGTGCAAAGTTTATCATGCCATATGGAAAAGAATTAGTTCATTAAAAGGTATTGTCAAGGTGATATTTAGTACATTCAGCAATAGAATGTGATTATTCAATATTATTTCCTTTTAACAATTATTTGTCTCAAAATTCAATACCCCCTATTGCACAAGTGTTAGCCCATGTTTGGTTAATGTTTATAAAATTATAATCGGTCAAACCACTTTTTATTCACACATTTTGTGGGACACACAGGTACTACCTACTTATTCGAACCAGGAAAAAAAATCCTCTATTTCGACTTCATTCCTAATATTTTTCTGTTTTTTCTTTTAGTTTTCCATTCAGCACGGCTATTCACCAACCAAAACTTTATTTATGCCAAGAAATGGAATTAGAACACTGGCTTAGATTAAACAACTAAAAAGAAAAGCTTTAAGTTCACAAGTGAGGAAAACGGAAGAACTTTTAGCATCAATTAATTACAAAACATGGGCGTTAGCTTGTTTTTCATATGTACCAAAAGCATGTGGCAATTGGTGAAGGAAAGCATCACCCAGCATTGCTCCTGCCTGCATAAGTGAAGTTCAATCAAAATCAACCTAGTGAAACTCAAATGGAAAAATCACTGAGTGACTAGTTTTTAAATTTAGTGACCTATATTAATTTATGATGCCATTTTGCAAAAAAATTCAGAAAAATTGAAGTTATGAAAAAGTTAATAGTATGAAAGTGGCATGCATTAAATTCATAGAATAAGAAAACTGCAAAGTTTGTCCTGATAAAATACTATTTCACTAGAGAGTCCTCCTAAACACGTCTTCTAAAACACTAGTATAGGATACCTCAAACTACAAGGTATAAAAAATAAAAAAAGGCATATGATCATTTCAGAAGCACTGGAAAAATCTTCAGATTCTGATAATTCTCATTCTCCCCACTTAACAAGAAATCTTATATATTCTTTCAGTTCAAAAGGTTCAGCAAAGCCTTATCCAATCAGAATAATAATAACATAATACCCTCCCACTTTCCCGTATATGTTGCACCATTTCTTTAAAACCAACTTTTTTATGAATTATATCGCAGCATTGATATTTGGAATTTATCTTACCTATTTGGCCCGAGTTTAAATTCAAAAATTGAAAAATGTGATAGAATGGTGATTAACTCATTTCATTTTTGTAAGTGTGAGTGGACTTTCGGGGAAAGTAAAAGCAAAATGTAACTTGAATTTTATAGGCCCAAGAAGGCAAAATATTGCAATTACAATGACGAGGACGTAGTAAGATTTATAAAAGGATATTAGAGGAGTTACTGAGATGAGATAATCAAGCAAAACTAATAAGATCTCTAGAAGCAATAGCCTAAGGCCAATAATAACAAGTAGCAAAATTAAGATTTTCACATAGAAAGGGGTAAAATAAGAGGGAAAAGAGTAATATGAAAGCCCAACCCCAAATAGTGCCAAAGAATCAACAACTGCTTTTGATGGCTTCCCCTGTACTGCACAAAATAATAGATCAACAATTTTGAAGTTAGAAAAAAATATAAATTTAATTCTTTGCGGAAACAATACCCCAAATGAATCATGACTGTCAGGCTACTTACTGAATATTAAAGGCAAAATAATCAGGCAAACAAGGGAAGCCAAGCTCACCAATAGTGAGCAACCCATGGCTTTGAGCCAGAGACCTGCCAAAAACACAATGAAATAGAATCATTTGAAAAGCTCTTATAAAGATAAGCAAATATAATTTTGAAGTCTTTCCATGTAAGGTCTATATGAAACTGGAATGAAGTGATTGAAACTCATACTGTCAATTAAACTGCAGCAACTCAACAATGAATGGGCCTGATGAATATGAAGGCATGAATGGGCAGGAAAAAACTCCTTGGAAATTAACATTTTCAAACATTTGACCCAGGGCAATTCATGAATGTTTTGTACAAGCTCTATAGCAGAATTAAGGCAAACACTTCACCAGAAAACTTCTTGTTTTGGTGATAGAGAAACTCAAAAAACCAGCCTAGAAAGCTAGAGATCTCTAACAGTATCCTTACAGGCAGCTATAGGAACCCGTAATCTTTTCTTCATTCATTCAACGCTTAAATCCATGAATTCTAGGAAGCAAACTTGCATTCGGGAATATGCCAGTGACACCAACAAAATTTGGATTTAAGAAATTTTTGGATAAGGTTCCAGGTTTTCTTCTTGTTTATTATTTTTGCTTTGCGCATCATTCACAAATATCAATATGTATGCATGTTTCTTCCATATACAATACAGACCAGATTTAAGAACATAAATCTGATTTGTATCTAATCTCACTAGACTTCTTCACTTTGGTCTTAGTCTAGCCTTGGGACTCCTAGTTTGAAGAATCCTTATCTAATAAAGATCACCCGTTATGCTGACTTCCAAAACCAATTTGAACAATCCAAGACCCTCTTGGACATATGAACTCTTTCATCCTCATCTCAATCCAAAACCTTTTGGACATGCTAAACCCTTTTAGAACCATTCCTCTTTCTTTGAGTTATCTCACGCCTCTATTTTGAGTATCCATTAGGTTAATTACCATTTAGCCGTAGGAGATTATGTTAAACTCTTTAACATCGTGAGAAACTCTTTTCTCGTGCCCTTTAATCAAGAATAGTTATTCAGCTATTCTTAAATTTCTTACATACCAAAATTGTCACATATGTTGCATATAATAATAACCACCCAACTGATGATAAATAGAGATTATCAAGAACTATTCTGGTGTAAGTTACTGCGTAATACAATGCTTTGATAATAAAATGTCCCAATCCGATGAAAATCGTTGTCACATGTAAAATCCATTAATCCAATAATATGAGAAATCTCAGATCCTAGGTTTTGAGTACTTCAGTACGATTTAGAACCCCAAGTTCCATTCTGAATAGGCCAGGAATACCAAGCCATTTATACTCTTAGTTATATTAGGACATTTCCCTTACCTACTCAACATATGCACTCCTTATTGTACATTCTAATGATTCCACACATAAGTGTATCGAGGGTACAATATTTTAATCAAAATTGTGAAAAAAAGGACCTTTATTCTACAGTATGCCCTAAAATCTCATGCACAATAAATAGAGGACTATTGTTTTAAGGTCGAAAAACAAAAACTGAGAAAAAAAATGGAAAGAAAGAGTTGCCCAGCTAATTGAGCTAACAGATGAAACCATGTGTAAAACTAATGGTATACCACAAAATCAATTACTTGGGTGTAATTGGGAGACAGATCAAGTGCGAGACAATTGAGAAAAAGGTCTGATTGATAGAGTTAAACGCCAGAGCCTAGACCAGATTAAAATGGAGAACAAATAATATGTATGCAGCAATGGCTGAGATTTTCAATCAGTGTCATTGGGTTAAGAACAACAAAACGAATTGGTGCTCCAGAATTATTGCTAAGTAAGATACTACATAGTAAAAAAAGAAAAAGAAAAAAAAATTGAGGACAAAAAATGTAATGAATTGCGATTGTAAATTAGGAAAGGAAAGTAAGCAGCATACGCCAAAGAAACTCAACCACATTCTATTCACATTTCTAGCCAATTCCATAGACGTCCCAATTTTAGTTACCCTGCATATACAAGCCTCGGAAATTGAAATAAAATGTTTAAAATATATATATATGTTTCCTGTCACCCAAATAAAATTGTGGACCCACATTCTCCAAAATATAGAGATTCAAGAAACCCATAACTAATATAATGTAAATTAACTCAACAAAAAAAAAAAAAAATTAACAAAATCACAATGCAGCTGAATTTTTGTTTAAAAAATAAATCAAGCTAAAAAGGGAAAATGTTTACCAAGACCAGAAAGCTCCACAATATCACCGTGCTTATGCTCCCTTTCATGGTTATGACTGTGATGCAACCCAAATCCATAGAGCTTCAGATCCTCCGCTTCAGCAAGTTCCTCCGGAAGTAGCAGCTGCGGCTGCTTTTTAACTACACCAACACCACCACCATCATGATGCACATGATTGTGGTCATCGTGATGATCATGATGATGGTTACACTGGTGGGCTGCCGCCACAGAGAATCCCACAACCACAACAAAACCGAATACCATTCTGAAGCAATTATAGATCCGCTGCTGTTTATTCGAGACACCCCCCATTTTCTTGAAAGAAATTCGAATAAGGGAGTGTTCGAAATTTCGAATGGTGAAAACTTATGAAGGTTTTTAAAGGGTAAGAAGAATTGCGATTCTTTTTGCAAGTGCCCTCGATAGTGATGAAGCAAACAGCGCAGAAAAAGAGGATTATTATTCCGACGATGATGCCGAATGGTACTACATCCATTTATACAAAGGGGTTGTTTGCGTCCAATTTTTTCACCTAAAAAAATTGATTTTTTGATCGTTATTGTATTATTTCAGCCATCATATTTGATTTCTTCTCTCACAATTGAACCTCACTTTTCTCCTAACGATCAAAAAATTAATTCTCAATATCACTCCCAACCAAGCTCAAAGACTTTACGACATCCAATATCCATAGATAGTTAGCGACATACCCTTTTTAGACAACGAGTGATTTTTTACTCAAAAGGAAATTGATTTTTTTATCGTTGTTTTACTATTTTAACCGTAATTTTTGACTTCTTATTTGCCCTCACTTTTCTTCTAATAGTCAAAAAATCAATTCTCAAAATTACTACCGAACATGCCCTTAAATATTTTCCAGCCCTTCTCTCGATATTTTTCTGAATATTTTTCAAAATTGGGTTGCCATTAGGGCTGAACAACGAAATCGTCAAACCGCAAAATAGAATCGAAATTGGTTTCCTGAAACCGTTAGTTTGGTTCCACATGAATCAGTCAACGTTTTGGTTTTGAACCGATCCGAACCGCTTTGAAATTGTTTGGTTTAAGTTTCAATCTTTGTAAACCGTTTCAAACCGTCAAACCATTTACCAAAAAAATATGAAAATAAATCAGTATAAAATTTATTTAACCCAATTAAAATTTAACACATTTCAATTATAAAGATACATCTATATAGACATAATTTAATTAAACTCAAATCGACGAATATACATTTCAATTAATTAATTAATCATATCCAAATATTCATGGATCATCATAACTGTGAATGTAAAATTCTCAAATTGGGTAAAGTGTTGAACAACTGATGCTAAACCACATTTATCGATTCTCCATTACAATTGAGCAGACAATAAAATTCAGATTTTAATTCAAACGTACACATTTTATATCCTTCTAATAATTTTCTCAAATTTTGCTCATATTCAAGTCAGATTATCAAAATTATTTTATTTTTTGTTAATTATTTTTATATTTTTATTGATAGTTATATTGTTTTGTTCTAATAATTGTCAGTTTGTCGAACTTCCTTAAAGTAATTCATCAATATTTAGATTTAGTAGAAGCTTTGAATAATTCACAAAAAGTCATAGTAGCTAGATACTATTGTATTTGAATTTTTTTAATCATTTTCTTTTATTAATTATTTTATATCATTTAACTATAATCAATGAATTTATGTACTATATTTTTATATTTATGAAGAAAATGAATAATGTATTACACTTGCAGATTGATGTCATTAGTATCGACTAACAGTTTTAAAATATTTATATTATGTTGTTGCATTATAATGATTATAATTATATAACTTTGATTTGTGCTTTTTTTAATAATACAATTTATGTTTTAACGTGAAATTTTAGACTAATATTTATAATTTAATTTATTTGATATATATTAATTTTTTTTGTTAAACCGTGATTTTAAATCGAACCAAACCAAAAAAAAATGGTTTAGATTGGTTTGGTTTAGAAATCGTAGTAGTTTAGTTTGGAAAATTTTCAAACCGCTTTAAATTGATTGGTTTGAAAGTTTGTCTCAAATCACCCAAACTGAACCGTGTTTACCCCTAATTGCCGCTAGCGTGAATTATGCAGAGAAGAGTGAAATGAACACACATTTGATATGGTAAAGAGAGGGGTTGTGTAGAAAAATGGGGAGTACCTTGTAGATTTGGTGGTGTGGTCCAGATAGGACGGGGTGCCAAGTCTTGCTAGGGCAACTTGGTCCATAAGTAGTCCATTTCAAGTCGCAATACCATTCAAAACGTTAATCATCGCACCTTTTTATAGTCTAATTTACAATATATTAAAAGTGGCGATCGAGGAGAAACTTTTGATTATCAATTGTACCTTCACATATTTAGCTTTGAGTCTAATATACTCTCATTTATCCTCATGTCTTTACTTTTTCATTTTACCCTTATATTTTTATGTTTATGGTCGATAATACCCTTAAAATTAAATTTATTTCAACTAAATTCAATTATTATTAAAATTAAAATTATTTATCTTGTAAATTAAGTCAAATAATTTCCATTAAACACTATTGTTACTAATTATTAGTATACGATTAATAAAAACTTATATAAAAACAAAATAAAAATCATAACAATACCACATACATAATTAACATAAAATGGCATAGACTATTAAATCAATTAAAATTAATATATAAGATTTATAAAAACAATAAAATTATGTATACACTTAAATTTTTTTAAACCTAATATTATAGATTAAAAGGCATTCCTAAAAGATTTAATTGAAAATAAAACATAACAGTATAAAAATAAGAATAATAAAATATAATTCCGGTTAACTAATGTTTGCTTAATAAGTATTAGATGAAAAGTCGTTTTATAATAATCCATCAACTTTTTAATCACCATTAATTTATAATAATTTGATAAAATATGATACAAAAAAAAATTCATTTATCAATAACCTAAGTGTGAATCGATGTTAAACATTCGATTTTGCATTTTACTTTTACGTTTTTTATATTTTTGGTGAACAATACCCTTAATATTCAATTTATAACTTCTAAATAAGACAATTAATAATTCTTATTGCTTTCAAAAATTAATTGAAAACTAAGTCAATTAATTTTCACTAAATACAATTATTACTAATTATTACCACACAATTAATAAAAATGTTATTACACACAATTAAAAGAAATTACAATAATACTATTTATATATATAATTTACTTGAAATGACATATTTTATTAAGTTGATTATATTTTCAAACCTAATAATACATATTAAAATTAGTATTGCATTTCTAAAAAATTCTTTGAAAATAATAAATTCAATCCATAATCACAATCTTTAAATATTTTATTAATCAAATACATAATTAGGACATTTTATTGTCCATAATATAAATATTTTTCAACAAAAATTTTAGCACAAATGAAGGAAATAAAAAACTATATAAGAGCTTTCTTACTCTTTAAGTCTCTATTATGAATCCATAATTCATCACTCACAAATCACATATTGAGTATGTGTGTATAAATTGTTTGTCTTCCTATTTTACTTTCTTTATGTAATTGTTAATGTATAATTATTAGTTACAAATTTTTATGGTCTCTTTTGATTGGAATGATGGCCATTCTTTTTTTATAAAGCACAACAACCAATAATAAAATTTTTACTTTTGTCAGTGATGAATTTTAATAGTGTGAATTATGTAAAGATTTATTATATTGGATAGCAATTTATTTTTTATTAATATTATATTTTTAACCGAAATTTACTTGCATTCGGTTATCCAGTGTAGCAGAAATTTTTCTTTATTTCCTCAACTCGAATCTTGTACATTTTGTCTTTATGATATTCGTTGATTATTGAACATATTTTCTTTTTCTTATTGTTATAATCATACAATGTAAGAATTTTAGTTTTGAGGAATTGGAAATTTTAATGTCAATTTCACTTGCAAGAAATTTAGGTATGAGTTGTTAGTTTGAAAAACAATTTGGTTCTTACTAAAATTTGCAAATTTTCACTTAAACGTTGGATAGAGAGAAAAAATCATCAAAATCTAAAATTAGATTATCCCAAATTTCGAGTGTCATATTCTTATAATTTTTAACCCATACAAATTTGATTCAATACACATTTCCATAGAGTATTAATAATTTTTGAGATATTGATTTTATTAATTATAGTCATTTCTATAATTTATATTCACTTAGTATTGTTAGCTTTAATTTTTAGGAGAGATATTTTTTATTTTTTAATTGATTATGACTATTAATCATTAAGAAAGCTCTTGAATGTATAGCCTCACAACTTTTTATAGTTAAAGATTAATTATGTAAAAAATTTAATTGCATAATCAAATAATTTAATGTTTATGCCGCAACCCACAATTTTTTGTCCAAGTGTTTTCATATTTTAAAATTCCGTAGGCATTTAAAAACTTATTTTTATCAAGTATAACGATAAAACATTAGTCATACCATGCTAAAAAAGTGTAAATTTTAAATTTTAATATCATCATATTAAAATATTGTTATACAATATACTTAAAAATTGTAAGTATCATTGGTGCTTATTAAAGTTATATTGTGTTTAAATATTACTAAAAATATTAACATTATTAAACGCTAAAATATCTTAAATTTGTCTTTATAACTTTATTTAAGTTATAAATTCTTTTTTCATATTAAACTATGTGTGAAGAATATTTAGAAAACTAGATTTTGATTTTAAGTTCGTACCAATTATTTTTATAATTTATTATTATTATTTCCTTTCGACTTTCATAGAATTATTATAAAATGAGGTACATGTCTCTAATGCTACAAAATCTAATCAAATCGTATTGAATCGAAATAAGTCAAATATATTTACTTGAATTTAGGCAAACCAAAGCAAGAGATTAAATACGTCACTACTTTCGACAAATTAAATGAGGTATAACTTTTTATATTTTGTGATTTTGGATATATTTAGTGAATATAAATTATGCATCCCTTTTGGCGTTTTAATATTCATATGTATACATACTTTACTTTTGAAATTTAATTTGACATATTTATATTCAAACAGATCGAATAAGAACTTTGTTATGTTAAAGTAAAATTTTTGTAATGTATATGCCATTCAAAATAAAGTAAAAATGATAATAATTCAATCTTACGAATTTAAGCACGTCATTTGTTTGTAGTGGTAATAGAATTTAATTATTTTTTGACATGCTTGCTTATTGTTAATTCAATTCAATATTTAATTATTTTAGTTTTTCATCCTCAAGGTATGTGGAGTTTTAATGCAGATAACAAAAGTCTCGATAAAAAACTAAAAATAGAAAATAAAAAGAAGAAAAGTTGTAGGATGTTGACAAAAAATACTGTGTACAAAGAAATATTATTCAAATTAAAATATTACATTTCAATTTATTAAACATTTCATATTATATACATAATTTCGTAAAATGTGTTATTCA